GGTTTAATGTTCGTCATTAGAAGTTTGTTCCCGGGCGCCTGGGTGGCTCAGTTGTTTGGGCGACTGCCTTCGCCTCAGGTCATGATCCTGGAGTCCTGGGATCGAGTCCCGCATCGGGCTCCCTGCTCAGCGGGGAGTCTGCTTCTCCCTCTGACCCTCTGACCCTCTTCCCTCTCGTGCTCTCTATCTCTCATTCTCTCTCTCTCAAATAAATAAAAAAAAAAAAAAAAAAAAGAAGTTTGTTCCCTAGAGCTGCCTCTGTATGCAAATATTAAAAGTAATGCTTCCAGACCTATCATTTGTTAAAAAGTCAGTGTGCATATCTCAATTGCTGAAGGTTGAGAATACAGTATTTTGGGGATTTTGTGCTGGCTTAGGAATTTGGGAACAGAGAGAGTGATATCCTGATAAGCAGAAGGCAAGGGAAGATTCCACTTTGGAGCCAGGAAGGAGGTTGGGAGTGTAAATGATGCAAAGCGATGATGAGACATCAGAGGTGAACTTGAGTTAATGAACATTTTTCTCAGCAACTGGGGATCCAAGGTTTACTTTGAAACTTGTACGGTTAAAACAAACAAGCCAACGTATTTCTTGGGCAGCTCTTATGAGCCAGGTGCAGCCATGGTGATGTCATTTGAGCCTCTCACCACCTGAGCAGGTGAATATTCTTTTCCTTATTTTAAGATGTAAAAACAGAAGCTAAGAGAGGTTAATTCCTTTCCTGACGGAACAGCCATTAACTTAAGCGCCTGGTGCTTTCCAGTATGTTTTGATATCTACCCTTGAAGGCCTTCCGTAAAGAATCCAGGGTGCCAAGTACTCAACAGAGTCCTGGTGGTTCACATGGAAGTTTCTGGATCAGAAGTGGGTACCCGAGCAGTGTGGGAGCTCCAAAAATGAGGGGATAGGAGGTAGGTGAGCAATGGATGAGCTGAAGGGACCGTCTGGATAATTCATGGAAGAGGGAGAGAGGCCCTGCAGATACTTTGAGTATAGAGAATTACCAGCCTTGGTCTGGCAGGGGATGGGTGTCATACTGGAAAGCAAGACCTGGCAATTGGGAAGCCACACGGGGTGCCCAGACCGGGACAGCGGGGAAGGAAGGACCCCCACCCTCCTCAGCATACCTTCTGTTGTGATGCTGCCTGGTTAGAATCCCCAGTTTATAGGCAATATAAATTAGGGAGCTCCTGAGACCTGTTTCCATTTTAACTGGACTTGGCCTTTAGTGGTAATAGTCACCCAATCTCTCTTTAAAATATTCTTTTCTTATGCTTTGCCAGTTTATGGCCGTTGTAGATCAATCCTTGGATTTCATTTAGAGGAGAGAGAAGGAGGGGAAAAAAAAACAGCAAAGGTTAGTGATTACCTAAATTGGATTAAGTTCTGTCTAGCAGAGTTTAAAGAAATGTTGCTTGCTCTCTAATTACCATCAACTAGGAATTTAAACGGTCTATTAAATTTAAGCTGACTTTTTTTTTTAATCCATGATAGTTCTAGTTCTAACATATTCTGGGATTTGGGAGGCTTTTTTATATTCTTTAAATGTGTAGCGGGTGTTCTCCTCCTCCCCACCTTTTAAAAATACTACATTTCTCTAGCAGGATAATAAATCATGTTATTATATACTGGCTTCATTGCAAAGCAGAAGTTCCCAGCCAGGTACATCCGGCTCTGTCAGCCTCTAGAAAGCAAGCCGGTGAACTGAGTTCTTTGTCGGAAATTTAGGGACACCCGTGTGAAGCTTTCTGGATGGAGTATGACGTGCTCCTTCACCTCTGTCGTAAAAGGCTAGGCCTATAATGAAAATCAGCCATCTTTACCCTGTGCTTCAGCGGCATCGAGGGTGTAACCACGGAGGGCGTGACCCTGAGAGATGGTGCCTCACTCGCCCGGTCCTCGTCCGGGCCCTGGTGTGCCGACGGATGACCTGTGCCCAGAGAGTTTCAGAGAGTGGTAGAACTCACCAAAAATTCTCTCCTTCTTCTTTTTTTTTTTTAAGATTTTATTTATTTATCTGACAGAGAGAGACACAGTGAGAGAGGGAACACAAGCAGGGGGAGTGGGAGAGGGAGAAGCAGGCTTCCCGCAGAGCAGGGAGCCCGATGCGGGCCTCGATCCCAGGACCCTAGGATCATGACCTGAGCCGAAGGCAGACGCTTAACGACTGAGCCACCCAGGGGCCCCTCTCCTTTTTTTGACCGTGGCCCATGAGAAAATATGGTCAGCATTTACCCCTTCCACTGCCCAAAGAACCCATCATGCGTGTTTGTACAATTTTTCTTGCATATAATTATATGCTACCTACAAGCATGTATTTACCTCTCTGGGCTCTCATTCTCCTTTCCTTCTCCTCAATTTTGGGGTACAAATATATGAGTTTTGTAATGCATTCATCAGCGTCCTGGTTTCGCCTTAGCTGGTTGCCGAATGCCAGCAGCACCCCCAGTTTCTCGCTCCTCCTTCCCTGTTACAGGACTTTCTCTGGCTTGGCTGGTTCTTTCTGACCCGGGCTGAGTTCTGTGTTTTGTTGAAGGCATCTGTGACAACAGTTAGGTTTTTAGGTTTTTAGCAAATACTTGGATTAAGGGACCACTTTGGGCTCCCTCGTTCAGGAACTAGAGTATATGTCCACTTGAGCTGAGCCTGGTAGGATACCTGAAAGGAACATTTGTTTTTGTCTTCCTCCCAAGGACTGGGGGCAGGAATCCAGCCCGGGCTGTGGGGTGTGTGTGTGTGTGTGTGTGTGTGCGTGCGTGCGTGTGTGTGCATGCGTGCATGTGTGTGCGCGCGCGCGCGCGTGTGTGTGTGTGTGTGTATGTGTGTATTATTACAAGGACTGGGGGCAGGAATCCAGCCCGGGCTGTGGTGTGTGTGTGTGTGTGTGTGTGTGTGTGCGCGCGCGTGTGCGCGCACGCGTGTGCGTGTGTGTATTATTACAAGGACTGGGGGCAGGAATCCAGCCCGGGCTGTGTGGTGTGTGTGTGTGTGTGTGTGTGTGTATTATTACAAGGACTGGGGGCAGGAATCCAGCCCGAGCTGGGGTGTGTGTGTGTGTGTGTGTGTGTGTGTATGTGTGTGTGTGGTGGGTGTGTGTGTATTATTCTGAATTGAGCTGCCTCAGACCCTGTTACAACCTGCTCGTGACCTCAGCTGCATAAATCCTCAGTGGAAACCCATCAACGCTTGCTGTCTCATTCCACATGCTCCTTTGGAACTAGTTCACTGTCGTTCCCCAGATGTCTTCGGGGGACACCACGTCAACTGGCGCCGTCATTTCAGGGAATTCTGCTGCAGTGTGCCAGCTGCCGGGTCCCCCACTGTGGAGATGTGTGACCCCTTTCACTGTAAAGTATCTGGAGGCCAAATTGGGGGGCAAACAAAGTAATCCTTTGCAGTGTCCTGAGAAAAGTTTTAAAAAATTCTTGACCAACAGGACAATCGATTACTTTCAAGACACCCCAAAAGGTGTTGGTATCAGCTTTGCAGAGAGGGGAGCTGTTGAAAGAGTCCCTGCGCTGGTCCTAACAGGCATCTTGGAGACAACACGGGTCAGGGAATTGAGATCTGGAATCTGATCTCAGCTCTGCCGCAGGCGAGCTGTATGACCGTGGGCAAGTTGCTCCGTTGCTTGGGGCCTCAGTTTTCCTAACTACAAAATAATAGGATTGGTCCACCGCTGTTTAAAATATAAAAATTAGGAGACTTGATATCTAGACTTCAGGTTTCCAGCTTTAAAGGAAAAAAAAAAGGAATAACAAAAAGACTGGATTCTTTAACACCATGGTGTTCCCTGCCTTGGCCCCGATGAGAATCGAGTTTGCCATCCCGGCTTCAGGCCTTCTTGTCTTTGTCTTTAATCACGATCAAATTCTTCTTCTCTCTCTCTCTTCTTGTTTTTTTGCTACTGGTAGGACTACATTTGGCTCATCTTTGTGTTCAGGTTAGTAGGTGCTCACGAAATATTTGGATCCTGTGTGTGGAGGTTTTCATTTACCCTCTATGCTTCCTCTTCTCAGATCCTGGCACATGCTGGACCTCTTAACATTTGGTTGTTGAATGAACTTGAAGTGACCCCATGACCTCTGTGAAGTGATAAGATCCCAGGAGCCTCTTTAATTTCCTGAGTCTCTATTCAGTGCTCCCTACACTTGGCTACAGGACACGGAGAGAAGTTTCCTTTCCCTTGATTCCATTTTCTCATGAAAAAGCATGTCACCCTGTTCTTGCAGTGGGAGCGTGAAGCTCATTTTTAACAAATAGCACAAGTTAATCTGGAGCACATTTCCCCACACTGAAAATTCTTACTGCCTGCCAGACAGTAGCTTTGGACCGCTGTGTCACCCACCAGGGTTTTAGATGGTACATGTCAGGAGTGTAATTGCTCACGTAATGGTCAGCCTCAGTGACCGCTTCTGTCTAGACGTTCCGGTTTATCATCTTGTAGGCCCCGCAGAACCACTCTGGATGGCATTTATGGGCCACACCCTCACAATTTGCACTCCAAGCAACTCGATCCTTCAAGTGGGGCTCACAGATGAGTAAATAAGATGTGTGGTTATTCCCCACAGTTTTGCTTGACTTGTACGAAAGGAGGGGATTTTTTTCTGGTGATTATACAGTGGTTGGCAGGCCAGGGTAAGGGCGATGGTCTGATGAAATAATGACTGCTAGCTGGATCCGAATCGTCAGTGCTTTGAGTCCTCTGGGCATTGAGAAAGCCTGGCTAAGCGGAGATAAGCACTTGAGCTTGCATCCTGTTTGCGCTAATATTTACTGTTGCCTAAACTCACATTCTCGAGACTCTTCTGTCCGCTTCGGTTTCCAGTGGAGCGCTGAGAAAGTTCTCTCGTTCTTCCTGCGGAGCCTTCTCCATAGTCCGAACTTGACCCTTCACATTTTCCTGTCTGTGGCAGTGTCTATCCCTCGGCTGGCTTTTGTCTCTGAAGAGTTGCGAAGTTTGGTCCTTAATCAAAACAAAGGCGTGGCTCTGCAGCAGGCATCTCTCCTGGGCCCCATCTGTAGGCTCCACACACCTGCACACAGACCCAGGATTCCCGGTCCACACGGCCACGGTCCACACGGCCACGGTCCACGTTTCCGTGGACAGTCATACTTAGGCGCACGGATCCCAGTTCGGTCATCCGGGGAGAATTTTTCTGGTCCCACAGTAACGGGAAGGTTGCTCTGCCGGTGGCCTGGAAGTCCACGCGTCATTCCATCATTCAGAGATGTTTACCTCGTACGTGCCCAGCACCGTGCTCACAGCAGGACACGGCAGGGGACGAGACAGGTCAGGTCTCAGACTTTGAGGAACTTACATGCCATTGGGGCTTGTCAGTGAACAAGTAAACAAACGTGATGACCTCACAAGCTGGATTCCTCCCGTCACTGTATTCTAGACAAGATCAGGCAAGACAACCCGTACTAGAGTATATTCTAGTTCCTTCCTGTGAGAGAGTGTGCTTGCTGCCCGGGCCAGGCAAGAAGCTGTCGATGGTGTGCATGAAGGGAAGCCACGGGTGGTGGTCACCTCTCGCCTCTGCATGTGGCAGACATGAGTGTTGCTTAAACCATAGCGGTTAGGAGCTCAGGCCCTGGAATCAGGTAGGGTCTGTTGCTCAGGTCCCTCTTAACTAATCTTCTGGCTTTGGATAAGTTAATCCCCGTCCGTCAGTTTCTTCATCGGCAACATGGGAAGATTAAACCTGCCTTGTTAGTTTCGAGTGGAGATGACCTGAGATGCTAGATGCAAACAGAGGCATGGCACCATCCTGATTATCTTGGCCGGCCCCTGATGGAAGCTAGTGTATCCTTTTCAGTGATAAATAGGGTAAAATAGTCATGGTAGGGGATTTGCAGAATGGTCTCGGCACTCTTGAATACCCACTTCTGGCTTGGTTTCCATCTAGTGGGCTGGGGTGGGGTGTGTATGGGTCAGATCTAGTTTCCTGGGTCGGTTTGGTGTGTCCTGTTTGCTGTGGGTTTCTTTTCGAGATCCCCCACATGCAGCTGGCTTGTCCCATTGGAAGAGTGTGCGTGCGTGGGTCTGTAATACAAAGGGGAGCTCGCGGTTCCAGTGCAGAATCAGTGATGGGGTAGGACCGAGATAAGATAACGGATAGTTAAGAGGCTGGTCAGCTAGATGATGTGGTAGGTGGCGGCTAGTTCTGGGTTTGTGCGATGTTGGGAGTCATCTGCTGCCTCCTCTCTCAGAGGTGCTCAGGTCTGTAGGGCAGTCAGGGTAGGGGCTGAACGGAGAGCTGGCGATGCTGAGGGGCTCATGGCCACCAGCTAGGCAGGACTCTTCATCAACTGATAAGCCAACAGACCTCAGGAAGGGGAGTGACTTGCCCAAGCCCACAGTGGCTGGTTTGTGGGGGCTTACGTCACCCTTGATGGAGGCCCCAGGGAACAGTGAGAGAAGGTTGGTGATCCTAGCTGTGATGGGATAAAAGAAAGGTCCCAAACTTCTACGTTAGGCTCCTAAAGTGCGAGTCAGCTTGGTGAATTCGTGGCCAACGCTTATAAATTGCATGATTTCACATTTGAAAAAACCTGGATTTTTGGCATCTCTTGGAAAATTCGGATCTGGCAAAACTGAGCTTGTGTTCTGAGGTGGCAAAAACCAGATTGGATTAAGGAGTGACTGCCTCCTATAGCCCGGGCAGGTCCTGCCTGCTCTTTGTGAGGTTCCACAAAGTATGGCAAGTATTCGACGTGTGGTGCAAAAAGGGAAAGAAATTGGTCTTCCTTTCGTTTTCTTTTTTTCCCCCAGGGTTTGTTTTTCTGACTTGTGTGCCCCTGTACAAGGCAGCTCCTCTTGTAGAATAAGTGCTGAAGAAATAAATTTGTGTCAAATGAATGAATGAATGGATGAACTATAATTGATCACTTGTTTGGGATCAGAAGCCAAGTTCGAAACCTCACTTCTTCCAAGCAGCTGAGTGACTTTGAACAAATCAATAACCTTTATGTTTTTTGTCTTTCTTTTGTGGGGGTGAGGGAGGCCTCACTGTTGTTTTTACTTACTTATTTGAATGTCGTACATTTTCATGTTTCAAGATTCAAAGGTGCAAACAAGTTTGCAGAGAAAAGTCTTCCCTACTGTGTCCCTGTCACTCAGCCCTTTTCCTTGGGGAAAACAGGTGTTCTCAATTTCTGGTTTGTCCTTCCAGAGGTACTTTATGCAGTGCAACGGAACATGTACATGCTCTTTTCATCTTCTTTTACTTAGATGGTAGCATAATACACACATGATTCCATGTTTACCACACTTTCATTTGGATGGGAGGGCGCGCCAGTCAGTACCTAAGAGTTTTCCCGTTCGTTCTTGGAGCTGCATAGGATTCTAGCATGTGGGACACCCAAGTTTCCATAGCCAGTCCTCTGTCGCTGGGCATCTAGGTTATTTCCAATCAGCTGCTGTCGTAAAGAAGGCGGTGGTGAAAACCCTGGTTATGTAAGTCCCTTGACATGCCTAGAGTAGAATTTCTGGAAGTAGAATTGCTAGGTCAGAGAGCACAGCCCTTGTCCCTGCGGCAGAACTTGTCAAATTTCTGTTCCTAGCAGCTGCCCCACACTGCTCTGCTTCCAGTGATGTGTGAGAGTACCTGCCGCCCCTAACCCTGGTCATAGGTGATCTCTTGGAACCTGCGACGGTTTTGTGAAGAACACAGTGAGTTATGAAAATATTGACGTGAGCTGTAATTTGGGGGGCCCTTTGGATGGGCCAAAGCTAAGATCTCGGTAATCTCATGGAGATGCATATGCCACTCTTTAGAAGCTGAGGAAGCTTTGTTTTTTTTTTTTTTAAGATTTTATTCATTTATATATGAGAGAGAGTGAGCACACAAGCTGGGGGGAGGGGCAGAGGGAGAGGGAGAAACAGGCTTCCCGAGGTGGAGCCTGATGCGGGGCTCAATCCCAGGACCCTGGGATCATGACCTGAGCCGAAGGCGGATTCTTAACTGACTGAGCCAGCCTGGCGCCCCTGAAGATGAGGAAACTTTGAGTCGTTTACTCGGGTCACCCCACTAATCAATTGTAGAGGTTGGATTCGAATCCAGATTTCTTAGATTTCAATACCAGGTTATTTCATGTGGTAAAGCCCTGTGTAATTTGGGGTGCTGGTATTCTCAGCTGACAGGTATGCACAGTTCCCTTGTCTCCTGGAAGTAGTGCTTCTCACATGGCTGGTTCATTTGCTCCTTCCTCAAGTGCCTACAGAATTCCTGCACTGTACTAAGCACCTGGGAACAAGATAGACATAGTCCTTGCCTTTACGGACCTCACAAAAACAATAATTCCGTAGGCATTTTTTGGGTGACAGGACAACAAAGGGGTAAGGAGAGTGTTCTATGGGGTCATGTGACCTAATCAGGAGTGAGGGGAAAGAGAGGTCTCTGAGCAAGTGAAAGACGGGTGATAAAGGGTCTGTGGGTTTGAACCTGGAGAAGTGGATGGGAATATTTCACATAGAGGACATAGTATATGCGAAGGTCCTGAGGCAGGGAAGAACAGGTAGTGCTGGAGGAAATGAAGGAAGACCAATGAGCTGGGGTACAGGGTGGTAAGAAGGAGGTGAGGGTGTGAGGATGGGGTTTGGGGATTTATTCTGAGAGCTGTGGGAAGTCTTTGACGGCATGGAAGCAACAAAGTGACATGGGCGCCAAGGGCCCCGGGCTGTGGGGTTCTTGTCACGAGCTCTATGACCTTAGACTAGTTAAACATTGGGCACATCCATTTCCTCCTCTGTAAGGTGGGGATGGTAACAGCACATGGAGGCTTTCAAACATTTTGACTGACCTACAGTGTGAAATAGGCAATTCGTTTAGACTCCGTGTACACGAGCGCACGTGTAACATACACGCATCCCCAAGATGTGATGCACTCTGATACTTCTTGTCCGAATCTATTAAAGGTTTTGGCCAAGACCCCCAAATACTGAGAGACTATGTCAAGTGCGTGTGTCACGGCGGGCCCTCGGTAAGTGGCGCTGTCACTCCTCACGGGCGTTGTCATCAAGATGACTCTGGTTGCTACCTGAGCAGACGGGTCAAATCCCGACGGTGTTGAAGGACACTGGCCCTTCGTCTCTGTGTTCAGGTCCCAGGGAAGGAGCTGCACTGGGGGCCTCCTGACTGCAGGAGCTCCTGAGGGGGATGTGTAAATTGGGCCGTCTCTATGGTCTCTCCGGTTTCCCTGGGAACTGGCCTCTCCTCGTTTTCTGGACGGTCACACCCGACTGTGTTTTCTCAGTTTTCTTTGACTTCTTTGTTATTTACCCTCAGAATGGCTTTTTCCTGGAAGCCTCAGAGTCATTATAAGCCACTCACTTCTTTATTTTAAGTTGTGCCATGGTTCTACTTCCCCTTTCGGAGTTCAGGGTTGGAGCCTGAGTGGAATTGATTTGCATTTCCCACTAAGTGCACTACCTTCTTCAGCCCGCTGGACCGGCCTGCAGGCCTGTGCCCCCCTTCCCGGGCGCTGGCCCTGGCCGCTGGGAGGAGAACGCGAGACGCCACGTTTTTTTTCCTCCAAGAAACTGACCTTGGATCCTGTGTGTGGAGGTTTTCAAAGAAATGCCTGTGCAGTGAGCTAGGGGAGCAAGGCTGGGGAGGATACCCAGTAACCCTGGAACCACCACAGCCCTTCATGTGTCCAGGATCCCAGCTTTCCAGATAACTTAAGCACCCACAATTTAACTATTTAAATCATTTTAGAAGCACATGTCTCTAAATGTTAACTGCATTGCTCCTTCACAGGAGAACATCTACCAAAACACTGGTTTCTTTAACTCTGAGACATTGGGCAAGGAACTTTTCATGGTGATGATGATGGTGGTGGTGGTGGCTGAATTGTGTGCCCCCCAGCTTCATATGTTCAGAACCTAGGTCCCGGTATCTTTGAATGTGACTGCATTTGGAGGTTGGGCCTTTAAAGACGTGATGAGGGGCACCTGGGTGGCTCAGTCGGTTAAGCCTCTGCCTTCAGCTCAGGTCATGGTCCTGGGGTCCTGGAATCGAGTCCTGCATCCGGCTCCCTGCTCAGTGGGGAGCCTGCTTCTTCCTCTCCCTCTGCCATTCCACCCCCCCCCCACTCACTTGTGCTCTCTGGCTCTATCTCTCTGTCAAATAAATAAAATCTTAAAAAATAGAGAAATAAAAATAACGAGGTAATAAAGTGAACCTGTTTGGTGGGCCCTAATCCAGTCTGATTGGTGTCCTTATACAAAGAGGAAATTTGGACACACAGAGAGAGATGAACGTACATAGAGGGAGGGCCATGTGAGGACACAGTGGAAGGTGGTGATCTATAAGCCAAGGAGAGGGGTCTCAGGAGAAACCAGCCCTGACAACACCTTGATCTTGAGCTTCTAGCTTCCAGAACTATGAGGAAATTTGTTTCTGTTGTTTATGTCATGCAGTCTGTGGTCTTTGGTTACGACAGCCTGAGCAGGCTAACCCAGTGGTGGTGGTGGTAGTAAAAATAAGCCATAGGTAGCATTTATCAAGCACTTACTGTATACTGGGACTATTTTAAGCCTTCCCTGAGTCATCTCTCACTCCTCATACCAATCCCAAGTCACCTGCCAGGTCACACGG